GTGGGGGGAATCTGTTGAAAAGGCATTTATTAGCCCTGCCCTACATCTGTTCTGAGTAGAAGAGGAGTGACTGTGGGAGTGGTAGCCTAATTGTCAGAGGAAAGAGTAGTTGCAACCAGAGAAAGCTGCAAAGGTTCCTGATTTAAACTCAGACTAGTACTTTGGGTCCTAAAATATTGAAGGATTTAAGAAAAATGTCTCTTTACATAGCCTCCTATTTATTTGCCGTAAGCCAAATATGGGTCAAAAATAATCTTTGCAGGCCACCCTGAAAACCCAAGCTGAAAAAAAAATGTAAATATTGCTTATATAATTTTACTATGTGTACAGTTAAATCATCTCCTGTAGTTTGAGAAGCTAAATGTTTCTCAGATATTTCTTGTAACATTAAAATTTCTATTATCTTTTAGGTGTGGTCCATGGAAACTAGGAAATAAAAACAATGTTTTATGACTATTGAAGTAGAACAAAAAACAAAGTGGTAGCTCTAAATGATTGCAGGAATGTCGTTACTTTAATTCGGGACAGAGAGGAGCAGTTAATTACCTCCTTCTAATTAACTTATCAGTTTTTAGGAAATGAGGACAAACCTTCTTTTAGTAAGACTTCACACTTGAGGGAAGGTTTGTCCAATTCCATCAGCCCATTTTAATAAGGTCAGTTGCTTCAGCACCCACTAACCATCCCCCAATAAAAACAATAATAAACAAAGAAAAAAATAATAATCTGGAGGCATTGTGAGGATTGGTTTATTGTTGCCAAAAGGTTAAGCAGCACGTTGCCCTTTTATGCTTTAGATTGTGATGCTTTGTGCTGTAATACATAGGGGCTTCTAAAGGGACCAAAAAATTCACTCTTGTCATTTTTTATATTACTGTTAACATATGTGTGACCTTCTGCTCAGGTTTGCCTTGTGAACACCCAAAAATAGGCACTCTCACACCTGCCCCCAGACTACATTATATCATTAGCAGTGATGAGGTACTGTGGCGTGGAGTGACCTGCAGCAAGAGAGCTGATCACACTGTCAATTAGTCCGCTCTTGTTCCACTAATTACTCTGTCAGGGTCTATTGATGCTTCAAAAAGATTCAAAGGCAGGAAAAAGGAAAATAAAACTGACTCTTTGACTCTCCATGTTGGACCAATAGGTCAGTGAGCTGTTTCAATTAGTGAGAAATGATAAGCTTTACCTGTGTGGAAGAGAGGTGAGGATTGTATTTCTCTCACCGTGGAGATGGAACTATGAGATGCATGGCAAAGCAGACTGACCAAGTTTAAAGTCTGCTGGATAATTCTGAAATAAGTCAAGGCTTTCTAATTTTCTTCAGTTGGTTTTTCCTATAGGCTTCCTCTGTTTAGGCTCACAGAGAAAATGATCAAGCTTCTCTGTAACCTACACTAAATTAAAGCTCATTGGTATCTTCTTGTTTGTTTGTTTGTTAAAAAAGAAATGACTTGCTTGCAGAACAACTGCTCAGTGGCACAGAAGGTAGCACTGCTGCCTTGCAGCAAGAAGGTTCTGGGTTCAGTTCTCTCTGCATGGAGTTAGCATGCGTGGGTTCTCTCCAGGTACTCTGGCTTCCTCTCACAGTCCAAAAACATGACTTTTAGGTTAATTGGCTTCTTTAAATTTTCCTTAGGTGTGCGTGAGTGGTTGTTTGTCTCTGTGTTGCCCTGCGATGGACTGGCGACCTGTCCAGGGTACACCCCGCCTCTTGCCTGTAGACAGCTGTAGAAAGGCACTAGTATCCCTTGCGACCCCCCTTGGGATAAGCATGACGGAAAATGCATGAATGGACTTGCTTGCAGAACAATTTAAAAGTATTAGAATTTTCTCACATTACAAAGTTTCAGTCAAATTTTACCCTTATTTTAAACAACAGACCAAATAAAAAGTAACGCATTATAATATGGCCCAAGTAAACCAAATGTTTTCCTTCTGTTTTACTGTTTAATTCATGTAAGGCACTTGGAATTGTCTTGCCTTGCCATTAATTTTTGTTCAGCCTTTCTAACTGTGATACCAGTAAAGAAAATTGTTGCAACTAATCTCTTTCTCCTCATTGTTAAATGGAGTATTCCTGTGAGCAATTTAATATTAATCCATATCGCTCATTTTTTGAAGTGTTGGAAACAGAATCTTAAGATTGCCAAGGATGTAGTTCATAGTGAAAATGGAAAGTAGATAACCCAATACTAAAGAGAAGATTACAATCTACCCAAACTGACAGTCTGCACAAGAGGAGCATTGATCGAAGTTGAAAGAGCCAAGAACTCCACTGTCACCACAACTCCGCTCTGTTAGCAGGACAACTACAGTAATAGACATACACTTTAACAATGTTGTCTTTGTTGAAGTGTTGCAAAAGAAAGGGATCATTAAATTAATCTAGGGCAAGACTTAAAACCTGATTTTCAGAGATGCACTCCACCCAGTCGGCAATAAGCTAAGGTTAGAATTTGAATGGAGGAGTTGATAAAAATATCATAATTTTAGGTGTGATAAACAGGAAGAGACTTCCCCAAAAATATATAAGAGCAACAACAAATTATTTCACAAATTATTGTCTTGAGGGTTGGAATGTTTTAAACAGCAGGACAGACAAACATAGAGTTTGTATTTGTTAAGAAATGTCGTGGTATATATTATTTCTTTTCCACCCAATTGAAAAAAACAACAACTAAGTCTTTAGTTAGAACTGTAGCCAAACATGTTACTTGGGTATCATCACTTGTTAGCCATTAATTAGGCAAGAAAATGCAATTTCAATTTGGTTTGACAAAATCACAGAAAAAAGAGAATTGTCTATTTTACATAAAAATGTAAATACTGTAGACCATCATATGAGTGTTTAGTGTTGTATTTATTGTTGTGGTTATATACAGTACGTTCTTCATAAAAAAAATTATAATTTTATCTGACAGAACTCTGACATCCTCTGGGCTGTTTTTATTCCCCACCTTTGACTTCTTTTCATGTAACTACTTGATGCTAACAACATGTGTCCTACTTCCTCACAGTTTCCAGCTAGGTGTTCATGCGGACACTCATGTTGCATTTGGCTTTAACTTGGTCACCCACTGGCAGTTGAGGGTAAAAACAATAGTTCACCATCACTGAGATAATTCAAAAGCAATGAAACAACATTTTGACACCAGCAAACAGACAGATCCAGCCTGTCCTGCTCTAAAAAAAATGGTCTCTCAGCCAGAGTTAAGTGAGCTACCTTACAGAGAGCAGACTACTGATAGTAATCCACGCCTGGCTGTTACCGCCAGGCTGTTTGTCCGCTGTAAACACATCGGTCCTGAAAGACTTCGGAGTTCACAGCTTGTGCGTGCCCATGTTTGTACACATGTTGGGGTATGTCTTTGGTTATAACAATGCCTGATGAATGAGGGGATGCTATGCTGGCAGAGGGCTCCATTAACATGTGCTGCTTGGCTGGTCCCTGCAATCCGTCACACTATGCATACACGCTCGCTGAGCGGAGGTAATCAGTGAGATGATTAAACGGCATCTGGTCGATGTTTACAGGTTTTCAATAGAATTTGTCATTTTATGGCTAGTCTTTTTAGGTCACCAGTGTGTTTTTGTGATGGGTGTGTGTGTGTTCACTTTAAAGTCAGACAACATAAAAAAATACCACCAGCAGTGTTCCCTGATAAAAAACAAAAAAAAATATTATGCTTCCACATAGTTATACCCTCCTCTCAGGGGAAGGCAAAGTATTATGTTAATCTTTTTCATTTACAATGAAACCATTATCTCAGTTTTGTTTCAGTTGCCCTATAACCACTTTACCATTAAACTGGTTCCAAAGAACCAACTGCTTTCTTAGCACCACCTCTTTGAGTTTTCGACTCTCGCAGGTTTGGATCTGATAGAATGGCAGACTTATGGAGACCAATCATCAATAAAAATACAGTGGTCCTGGTTTCCACGTAGCAGAAAATACAGCTTAAATGGATTCCTATATGTATATACTTTCTCTGATTTCATTTATATACTAAAATAAAAATTTGGGGAGTGGCGGCCTAATGGTTAGGGCATTGCACTTGGAATCCTGATGTTCTGAGATCATGCCCCACTCCCTCAGCCTCCACTCTGGGTCCTTGAGCAAAGACCCTTAACCCCACATTGCTCCCCGGATGCCGCACAAAGGTAGCCCACTGCTCCCTAAGGGGATGGGTTAAATGCAGAAAATGACAATAAATGCAATAAAAGCTGGGGAAAAAATGTATGTTGGGTCTTATGCCAACTTCCACACTGAACATTGCTGATGTTAGTGTATGCTGGTAGTGCTTATTCATCGGTCAAGCAAAGAAACTTCATCGTTCTAAGAAAAGGCAGAGTTTTTATGGATCTTTCATCTGGAGGCTAAGATGATCTTCCATCATTGAGGCAGTTTAACATGGAACATGCTTCAGATTGTTTGGATTTGTAAGAATATTGTTTACTTTGTCGGTGATCAAGTGTGTTGAATGTAACCACAGTACATCCCTGATTTATATATTAATCTTTACTGATAAAAGGCAATCCTATCTAGTAATGTTTTCCACTCTTAAGCAACTTTCCACCATTTGGGATTTATTTTTTGTCCATATCTTTCCATACCTAAAACTTTTCCAAGGCAACATAGATCTTAGAGAAACATCTTTCAAAAAAGAAATCCCCTTAACATAGATTAACAACAGTGCTTTTGTTTTCTTTTGGAGGGCTCGTAAAATGATATGCTCTACCGGGAGCACTTGTCAGTTGACTTCAAATAAAAAAGGCTTTAAAATAACAAGGCTTTTATTGTTATTCCTAAAAGCTTTTGTGCTTGCGATGGATTTTGATGAAAAATAACAAGCTATACTATACTATATACCTGAATCAAATCCTACAGAATCCTTGCATGGGCATCCCTTTGAAAAACAATTTAATTCTAAATAAAATCAGTGTCTGCACTCTATGTCTAACCAAGGTTTGTGTTTATTCTTTGTATCTTACAGCTCATCAGATGAGAAGTTTCGCTGGAACAACCAAGGTGATCTACAAACTTGTATGTTTATATCATTATTTCTTTGTTGCTTGTTTGTCAATATGCTGCTGAAACTGCTGGAGGACAATAGATAGCTTCAACATAGTTAGAAAATTATTTTGGAAAAACTTACTTTTCTTCTTGCATTTCAGCTCTCATTAAGTAGCGCTCAGACCGCATTTCCAAATAATTTGTAGTACTTATTCAGATAAGAAGTGCACCATACAAATCGCAGCCTAAAAAAAAAAAGAAAAAGTAATGAACTTTCAGATGATTTAAAAGTCAGATGAAAACCCCTTTCAAGGCTGGACCACTTTCTTGACAGTATTTTAGTTTAAAAGACACACACAAAAAAACACCCGCTATGGTTGACACTTGAGTTAGCCTTTCTGTCTCTTTGTCAGTCATGTTCAGATCTATAGGATATTGAGAGCAGATTGATTAGCTGGGTGCACAGTAGGCGACCTCTGCCAACAAAGAGGTAGCAAACACAACAAAAAAGGATTTGTGGTGACGTCTTTCTGTGCCCAGCCAGCTGTGCTCTAGGTTGACCGCTCTGCAAAGAAAGACTCCCCTTACTTAACAATAAACCAATTTTTCCTCAAGTCAGGACTTTAATGAATTCATTGCTCCAAACTCAATAGAAAAATAAGAAAATAGACCTTTTGTTTTATTTCCTATGCAGGAGGGAAAATAAATGAAAATAATCAAAATTAAAATGAGAGTTTGTAAACTCAAAATATAATCGGTAGTTGAACTGGTTGAGGCAAGTCATATTTATTTGACATTATCAATAAAATCAGTAATAATGTCATGACTCAGAACAGAGGACCCAGTTTTTGATGCAAGACAGAGTGGGATAATTAAAAAAGCGTTTAGTAAAACGACGTCTGGTCGGTGTAGCAGTGGCTAAGGCATCTATCACAGGAAACTCTGTAAAAAGGTTACCACATAAATCTAATGAAGGATAATATGAACGTGTGAGTCACTAACCTGGTTTAACAGTTTAGCCCATACCCTGAGTATGAGGTAGGATCCAGCCGAAGGGGTGCCAACAAGATTCTGGACGATTTGAATGCTCCAGCCCCAGAGAATAGAGAACAAGCAGGAGTCCGAAGCCAGGTTAGGCAAACAGATTAGAGCAGGTAGGCTCAGAGTTCCAGGAGTCCGAAGATAGTTCAGACATAGATAGTTGAGATGGGAACAGGTAGGCTTGATGGTTGAGATCAGGATCATGGAATCAGAAACATTAAGGTATGCTAAAAACCCTCTCACTACTGGCACAAGAGAATGAGAATAATCTGGGCATAATAAACTGGATGCAAGCAAATTAAATAGAGGCAGGAGCAGGTGGATCAGATGAGCAGTGATTAGAAACCATGCAGTTAGACAGGTGAATAAAATTAACCAATAATCCAGTCATCAATACTAAGATCATGACAAATAATGGTCAAGACTAGCATATCTTTAAATTTAATAGTTTTAAAAAGAAAACCGAAGTTCATTTCTAAACCAGCATGATATGGGGCTCTACATATAGCCCATAGAGTAGAGACGCAGAAGAAGGCTAGCTCCCTTTAGCTTGTTGGCTCACAACAGTAAGAGCTTCTACTGAAAGATGGGGCTTCGTCGGCTCTTTATTTCAGCTCTGCTAGAGCTGAACTGAGTCTTTTCATTCAGCAGGTTCAACGAGACAAATAAATGGCCAAATGTGTGAATTTGGGACATTTGTTTTTCCGTTGGGTCTGCTTCTAGCATGTTCTTGCACTAAATGAAAATTTGCTCCTTATCCTCTCGTTTGGAACGGTGACTTCCCCCTCTGGCAGTTAGGGAAAATCCACAGAAAAACCACACCTTTTTATAAGCTGCATGGTTCAAAGCATGTGAAAAAAGTAAGGCCATTTGAGACTTGTAGCTCTGCAAACCACACACTGAAAGCCAGATGAATATTTAGATTTTGAGGTAACTTTCTTTATCTTTGTTCCTATTTTGATTTGCCATGTGTGAATGGTGATCTATAAATCAACCTGACTTCCCTAAATTTAATGAAGCATTAAAAGCTGGTCCTGGAAGTGTTTTTACCAATAGCTGCATCAGTCTGCAAAGGCAACAGTTGAAGTCAATAAAATAGGCCTCCTAAATCCCCCCACTAAGGCAGCTACTATTAACGTTCTCTTTCCATCTCCGTAAGAGATTAATGCTGTTGGTAAGACTCATTTGTAAGCTTTTATCTTCCTTGGCAGCCGTCTCTAACTGGAAGACATTGGCCTGCTATCAGCCTCTGTCTGACAGACAAACGGCTGGTATCTAAGCACAAGGTGGACCTCAATCCCAAAAGATTTGTTGCTGAATTATCAGCTTGTACCCTGGATCTGTTTTTTTTATGATTATATTCTTGTGCTGAAATGTTTACCCCTACAGATTTCTTCTTTCATGCTTAAATGTCTATTCCTATTAAATAAATCTTACCATCAGACAAAAAAAAAAGGATAAAACATTTCTAATTATGATGGCACTTGCATCAAAGTAAAAAAGTAGAGCTTTACAAATCAAGCTGCCCCTATGTACATAAGAAATAACCCATCTAAAATTTAGAGTTGGTTGTGAAAAACTAAAATGACCATGAAGCATTAGCAATAAGGAAACATTAAGACTTTTTTAATAAATTAAACTTAAGATTATAATAATAATGATTGAATGCATTTTCAAAAGCAAGACCTAGATTTTTTTACTTAGTTTTTGCCTGATTTATTCCTTTATGAAGTCTTGTTATTTTTAATCCTAAAACATAGGAAATGCTGTCTTCACCATTTTGCTAGCCAGGCACCGGTAACATGAATTACATGAATGGACTTGCTAAAATTTATAACTACTTTTCTGTGTTTTTTCGCCATGTCAATAACAAGTACGACACAGGATCATAATAATTAGGACTATAACAAAATGATGTACTATAAATAATATTTAAGACTAGATTTTGTCATTAATGTAAACTTGATGTAAAACGCTTTTCTAAGTATTTGTCCAAATTACAGTTTCTATGATTTTACCATTAAACTGACAACATCAGCTCACTACAGCCTAAGAAGTAAATTAACCACGGCTCCTACTGGTAAAATAAATTCTAATAAAATCTGATGCGATGAGAAAAGCTGGCAAGGTTGCAAGCAGTTGGTGACCTTCATGTTTGTTTTTTTTTAGGAATGCAGCTTTTATAGAAATTATTGTTAAAAGAAAGGAAGTGGAATAATGTTCGAAAGCATATGTCAAATTAAAACAATAATAGTTAAAACACATATATTTTATTTTTAAGTAGTTGTCTGTGTTATTTGATAGCATCCTTACAATAATAGCTTAAAGAAATGTTCATTGAAAGTAATCTGGGTTTTCGTGGATTTTGACCCCATTTTCAAGTGGAAAATGCAAGTTTATAAAAAAAAATGCTTTTGCAATTCATAAGTGTGGCAGTGCTGACACAGATAAACTGAGCTAATCTCTTTTTAACTTGTTTATTCCAATGTAGACGGACAGAAGGACATAGAGGAGGAGCTGACGACTGGCCTGGAACTGGTGGACTCGTGCATTAGGTCCCTTCAAGAATCAGGCATCTTGGACTCTCAGGACGCCTCTACAGGAGACAGTAAGATCAATGCTTTAGGGATTTAATGTTTTTATCTTTGTAATCAGATGCTTTTTATAAATGAACCCATCTAGACATTAGATTTACCTCATAAACTGAAACAATTTATCTGAATCCTTTTCTTTTCAACACTTCATACTGTAGGTAGCTGCATACCACATTATATGTTTGTGGCAAACAAAGCCTAAATATTTAACTAAGAAGTAGAAGCATAAAGCGCAAACTCCTGCATCACAAAACTACACATTTAGCAACTTATCTTCCATCCGACAACCCACCTATTATCCTCTGCTTAAGAAAAACAGGCAAAGGACAGAAACCTAAACATATTTTAACTTAGTGAAGTTCTCCTTGTTTTGTTCAGGAAAAAAAGAGACATGAAGCACTCCCTTATCAAATAAGAATCTTTATATTCATTATGAAAACACAGCATTTTACTGTAGTCGAGGCTTAGAAAGCACATGTACAATTCAGACAAAGTTAAAACCACTTGTAGAATTATAAAACACCCTGAGAAGAAAAATCTATCTATAGAAATGTAGAATGTAGATACATACAATGCAGCCAAGCCCTTCTTAGTCTATGGAATAGACTGATGGTCAGCAGAGAGGTTTGTGTGGAAATGTGCGTGCGTCTCAGGAAGGGTTCAAATTATAGATCAGCTGTGATGAGCCACTTTTTTAGTCCATTACCCAGAAGCATTAAAGCCAGAATCCCAAATTCAATTAGATAAAACAGGTCTTAGGACATGATGTAAGCTAAAAGATCTGAAAAGGGGAAACACAAATCAATACCGTGAATAAAGATAAATAAAGTCTGCATGTGTATATTGTCAGCCTCAGTATCGTTCATCAGATTCATGACCTGGTAGCTCACGATGAAGAAAGAACCCAATCTTTAAACGACTTGCATTGCTGTTAAAAATATAATGTGCATCTTTAACCCTGTAGATAACCCCAAGAGCACCTAGCATACCATGAAATACAGGGATGGCAGCATCATGTTGTGTGAATGTTCTGATGCAGGACGGATTGGTGCACTTCACAGAATATCAGTCTAGAAGTTAGAACTCAACACAAATGGGTCTTCTAAATGGACAGTGGCCCTAACCGTATTGCCAAATAAGGACAGAGTGGCAAGAAGGTGACTGTATTCAAGTCTCCATAAAGCCCTGATTGTGTTTCATGGAGGATTTGTGGTCAGAACTTATAAGGTCTGTGAGCAAATTGGTCTAAAAACCTAACTGTTACACCACCTGCAGTATTTCAGAGCCTCTAGGAGGATATTTAAAACATTAGACACAGGTCAGACAATTAAAAAGGAAAAAAAAAAAATAATATATATATATATATATATATATATATATATATATATATATATATATATATATATATATATATATATATATATATATATAAATACATATATATAGATAGATAGATTTAAAGAAGATTACATATATATATTAACATATACATATACGATATATATATATATATTTATATATATATATATATATATATATATATATATATATATATATATATATATATATATATATATATATATATATATATATATATATATATGTCATTGTTTTGACATTAAGTAAATTCAAACCTTTGATTAACCCTATCCAATCTATATCAGAAAATTTGGTCTAAATTTGTGTCAGTAATGTAGGCAAAAAGGTAATGTTACAATCGAGTTAGTAAGTTATGAAGAAATGCACTGTAAAGGCATCTTTACTGTGATGTAAATTATGTTATGTTGTTATTCTTGCATTCAGCAAATGCAAATACTTTGTGCAATCCTAACCTTTGATAAAACAGCAAATGGTCATCTGATTTGATCTAAGACGTTAAGACAAAGAAATAGTTTGTATTTTCATCCAGTGTTCGTCATCCTATTTACCCATGTCTGCATTGCAATGTTATGATGAATTGCTAATGTAACTAGATAAATTGCAGCATTGCAAAGCTGTGTTAGAAACAGTTGGCAGGCTCAGGGGCCATGATAACGAGGATTGTTTTAAATCTACTGAGCAACATTGTTATGAACAGGCCCTCTGACTGAGAAGCTAAACCACTCCCTGTGCCTTCCTGCTCTACTGTGATCTTCCTGCATTCTGTCCTGGAGATGATACCCCTGTCTTTGCTGCACTCGACCCCATGGGGGTGAGGTAGCTGTCAGAAGACACGCAGAGTTGTGGCAGTAGCTTGATATGCTAATCCATCCTCGCTGAGATGTCAGCTGGCCTGCTGTTCGTAGAGCAGAGAGGAGAGGCAAACACACAAACATGCCACTACTGTACACCACACAAGCTCCGAAAACTTTACAGTAGCTGTGTGCACACAGTAAGGGAGAAATGCATACCCCTGCAATGAAAGCTACAAGAACCACCCAGACAGGTGGAGAGTCGTGCAAGCTTGCATACATGCATCATCACAGATCAACTGCAAATGCTGATACCAGAAAATAAACATTTCTTGGTATTTATAACATATTACATATAACGGTTATGTAACTAACCATCTGACTTGCCCCAGAAGAACAATAATGAAAGCGTGGAGGTACTAGATGAGACAAAAATAGAGAGTAAGATGGAGAAAGGGTTGGAAAAAAGGCAAAGTTTAGACATAGACTCATGTTTGTATTAATTACAGAAGAAGACATAACTTTACACATAACTTTTTGCACCATGAGTTTTTCACCCACAGGGTCAGTAAATTTTCTTTTGTATACACTCTGTGTATGCAAAATAAAGTTTTTCTAAGTCACGGTGTTGTGCAATACCTTTTATTGGACTATGAATATTTGTAAATTATAGAATCTATCCACAACAGAAGCAATGTTTTAGGTAATTTTGATTTAGATCAGAATCAGATTTATTGCCAAGAAGGTTTGCACTTACACGGAATTTGACTTTGTGTTGATGGTGCAGACAAATTATGTATATATACAGAATACAAAATCTATAGCTAAATACATTATAAAACATGCAATACGCAATATACAATATAAAGTATATTGTCATATTCTATATACACAACATGCTGTGCAGGAGGTCTGGAGATGCTTAATGTAACGCAGGAGGTCTGGAGATGCTGCATTGGTGTAGATCTAGCAACCTTTAATCATTATAATTAACAATTGGCATTATCAATTCAAAAATCGTTAACTTAATTTACCAGTAAATTTAAATATTTACACCAGTAATAGACCTGGGTTTAAACTAATCATTAGTAACTGTCAATGATTTGAATCTTTATTTCCAATTGGTATGTATTAATCATTAACCAACCAACAAGGCAATCAGCCAACTGCAGACTATCAGTCTCTGCAGGCTTTAAGCTTAAAAGGCTTCTTTTTCAAAGGAATGGTAAAGAAGTGATATGCAACTGGCTTCAACCACCATTGGGTGCACCAGTGGTGAACTTCCTGAGTGGGGCTTCCTCTTGGTTTTTATTACCTGTAGTGCCGCATCAGAGCTGCAAGGCATGCTAGGAGTTGTTGTTACAAACTTTTATATTTACAGTTGTACAACACACTGTGTGTGTGAGAGGGAAAGAATTTTGCATCAGTTTCATTATTCCACTACTATGTTCATTTCCTAGTGCGGTTCTACTTTCAGCGTAGCTTTTGCTGTAAAGCTTTTTTTTATTTTTTAGAATTTTCTATTCTATCAATATTCAGATGCAAAGTGAGTAAGTTTTACATGTCTCAGTACTGTACCTCCCAAAACAATGATCATAGTACTGGTTACATGTATTTAACTGCATATACATGTAAGTATATGGAGCACAAACCACTAGGATGTTCAGTGTAGCTTCTAACAACTGTTGGGAACCAGTAACAGATGCAGAATTGGCCTCTAAATCATAGATTTACTCCACGTATCTTTCTTGTCTGAAAAAAATTCTAATTAGGGTGTGATTAACTTTAGATTTTCTTGAATATCTGCACCAATTGGTCTGAAAACACAAAAAATACTTTTAGAATCTATGTTATTAAAACTTAGCTATTACTAAGAATAGATGAGGTATTTCCTAATAACTGGAATGAAATGTTAAGGACAGATGTGCTTTAGCTCTATTTTCTTCATCCTAAAATATGCACAATTTTTATATATATATATATATATATATATATAGAGAGAGAGAGAGAGAGAGAGAGAGAGAGAGAGAGAGAGAGAGAGAGAGAGAGAGAGAATTTAAAAATATGATTATAACTATGAAATATTTTGTGGATTTTCCTAATAATGTTTTGTAAAAGAATACTCTTACCAACTAATTGCTTTTCAATGATCATGAAAAACACGATGAGAGTAGTTAGCCAACTCAAAGCCATTTCCTGTGAAATCAATTTAGAATCTGAAAATAAATATTTTCAATTTATAACACTTTTAAAGTAATACAGCAAAAAAAACTTTAGTGCATCTTTTTTATTATTATGCAAATATGAACTAATAAACACAGAAAGTGCATGCCCATGCTGCTGAGAACCTTAATACACACAGACCTGCAGCACACACTGAGAAGGAACATAATCAGAATTTATGCCTTGCCACATGCTGTGGAGCAGATTAGTGGGGCGCAGCAGCAGACTATGGAGAGCGTCTTCACCCTTCGTAAGGTTTGTGCTGGTGATATCCGCCAGTGTGCATGCTAATCTGTGCGTCAGTGTTTCCTTTGCACTCATCTATTTGGGGACACGGCAGGCACTTTTATGCCTGCCTTCCAGACTCAGCACATCCTCAGATGGCCATCTAAAATATCTATCAAAAATAGAAAATGGATAAAATATTAAAATGGGTCGATTGAGAATGCCAGTCACGAAGAAAACCACTCTACTCTTTTTTTGTCCAGCTGCGTGAGAGGAGATAATAGTGAGAGGAAACGAGGGAGTCTTTCCAGGTCAAAGTGTACATCATTACATGCTTTAGGTATATGCAGATGTGCTCATGCTAATGCATGAGATCACAGTGCATGACCCATCTG